AGCTCTCAAAATTCATAAAATTCTCAAGAATTGCAAAATTCAAAACTCAAACTTCCCGCCCATATTCATCAAAACCAAGACTTGCATCGTGTTTCTGAAGCTCCAATGATCTCATTCCTATCCTTCTTGTAGATTGAAGCACGCTAGAATACGCCTACGAGGTTGCTCCGGTTGGGTAAATTTCTCAATCTCAAAAATTTTAATTCTCACATTATAAATTATTTTTAAACACTCATTCATTTTCACACTGACGCTTGGATTATTTTAGAACCATTGCCTTTGAGTTTTGACGCAGGAATCCAGTTCTGCCATTGTTAGGGCTCATGAACTTTTGAGTTTCGGATCCAACACTACGAGCCATTTCAGACCAAACCAGTACCATGGTTGGATTCGTAGCATATGTCCCATTTATTATTATTTTTTGCTTTATTTCATTTTCATCTGTCTCTTTTATTTCAATAATTTCCTTTCCTATTAAAAATTCATAAAGGACATCATAAAACCAAACAAACCAAAAATAATTAGACTTAGATTTTCATTAATTAAATTAATTTTAATTAGTTATTTTAATCATCTTTGTTTTTTTAATTAATTAATAAATTAGAATTAGGATTAATTTAATTTCAAATCTTTTTCGTAATAATATTAAAAAAACAAAATAATATTAAATTTCCTTCTATAGTTAATTTTTAATCAATGTTCATTTTCTTCTATTAATTTAAATTAGATTTAGCTTTTTAATTTTCAATTTAAAAATTTCCTTGGGGTACAACAGCTGCCCTTATTTAAGTGTCTTCTATCCGGAGATACGAAGGTTAAAAATTTCCGTGTCGACGCGATTAAAGATATTTAAATATAAAATAAGACTTATTTTTGGCCCTGAGATCCCATGCAATGCTTATGATTATGAATGCAAATGAAAAAATCTAAAAAGGACGCAAGACCCACTAGGGATGTAGCAAATAAAATAGGATCAAAAGGAAGATCCGACCAGGAAAATAAATAACTGGTGAACAAGAGACCCGACTCTATTGGGGTAAAGCCCAAAGATGAGATAAAGCATTATCAACTCAAATATTGAGGAGAGAAAGTAAAGGATAAAAGTGATTGATAGATGACTACGAACTATCCGCTCACTAAGGAGATAACAAAAAGGTAATGTCGATCCACCATGGAAAGAAGTGGTAATATAATACCAGAAAATACCAATATCTGGGTGATAATGATAATCAACACCATTAGTCACGACCGGGAACAAATGAACTTCTTCAGAGCAATAGAATCTCAACGACAAACTACCTTCCATAATGAAAAGGCCACCATTCATCAGAAAAATATCTCAACAACAAACTACCTTCCATAATGACAAGGCTACCATTCATTGGAGTAACGAATCTCAGCAACACACTACCTTCTATAATGACAAGGCTACCATTCATTGGAGTAACAAATATCAACAACAAACTACCTTCCATAATGTCCAGGCTACCATTCATTGGAGTAACAAATCTCAACAACAAACTACCTTCTATAATGACAAGGCTACCATTCATTGGATTAACAAATCTCGATAATAAACTACCTTCTATAATGACAAGGCTACCATTCATTAGAGTAACAAATCTCAACAATAAAAAATCTTCCGTAATGACAAGGCTACCATTCATTGGAGTAACAAATCTCGGTAACAAACTACCTCTCATACTGACAAGGCTACCATTCATTGGAGTAACAAATCTGAATCTTCTCTGGGAACTGTCAGACTTATTGGTGAAGTACATGTTGCTCAAATAAAGAGACCTGTCACTTGTTGTTATGAGGAGGAATTGCAAATAATGATTTCTTGGGAATAGAAATATGACCTCCTGGGGAAATGTTAATGTATTCCTGTTGAGGAGATAGAATCTTCACGTGCAAAATAAAATTCACATTCTCAAACCAGGGCTTGAAACTTGCAGAAATCAAAATAATAACACTGTTGGGGACCACCCATCTAAACCAGAAATAAACCGAAGTGAAATAGTCAACCAGAATAATCATCTCATGAGAAATAAACTCAATAGGGAACCACGTTCTTTCCATACAATGAGCTGAAAGAAAGGCTAAAGAAAAATTCTTCCATGAGGGATAGCTCAGTGGGGAAATTGAAAGGATATACACTTTCTACTTAAGGCAGACATTCTATTGGAGAGAGGATAACACAACTCTGTAAAATAGGGTAATATGCCAACAAAATATTAATGGATGCACATGAGCAATAAAGTCGTAAAATATTCGCTCTTTTCCCGTCCTTAGGACAAAAAATAATGGTGGCGACTGAAATAACCGGCTGAAAATCATCAAACAATGAAGTTTCCATCGAACGTCTTTTATCCCACATGAATGGAAAGGTAAACTTCGAGAAAACCTGAGAAGGGAGACATCACGGTATTGCGACTGAGAGATCGGGTAAGGGAGTATGTGACGTGAAGGGAAGGTATTAGCATCTCACACGCCCGTAGTACTCTACAGTATCCACTCTTATCATCTATCTTATGGGTGTGTTTAATATATGCTTATTGTTTACCACTGAGGAAGAATGCATGCAAAAGAGAGGAGAAAATAATGCAGGGAAAATAAAGTTGTGCTTGCTTAGGCCCTACCCCAATGCCTACGTATCCTTTTTGAGGAATTAGAGTTACCGTAGTTCGGCTCACATGTTTTGTTTGTTTTGTGTTTTTTATAAACAATGTTAATTCCGCCTTCTACCGCAGCTCAAACTTTGGAGACTCACGCGTTGGCACATAAGTAAGTTAATATGTCCTTACTGAGAATGGTTTTGAGTTACACCCTCAAGGCAAGATGCCACATTTGACTGGTTTGTATTTTTTACCTTGAAAAAGGTTTTAAGTGTGATTATCATGTTTTATGGTTTGCTAAAAAAAGGAAGTTTTAGTTTTAATGCATATACAAAAGGAGAAGAAAAAAAAGTCCACGGGAGACTAGCCTATTTCTAACCTAATGTTATCATACAATGGTGGCCCTAAGTCAAGGATGAAAGGGAAATTCTACCTATTGTTAGCATGCATGGTTTATAACCTAAGGCCTAACTTGCATCCGAAAGGAGCAAGCGCATCTTAAGGGAATATGGTATGTACAAGGATAAAACAAGCAAGCTCGAAAGAGCACACACATAAAAGAGTAAGGAAAAGAAACGAAATGATTTATCCAAGGGGAGCGTATCACCTGAGACAAATAAGCTGGAGTGAGATGAAAAAACAAAAATGTGATGTCCAATACGACTGAACACCTAACCAAGATATAAGAGATCGAGGTAGGCGACAGAAGGCAATATGAACGATCATGGAGTATCAACATCGGCCAATGCGAACTCCTTACAAAGCGTGGGGGTTCGATTGTGGAACCATTCCCTACTTGACGAATTGATAAGAAGAGCGTGCACAACTCTGAAGTAACGTGGTGCGTCACGAGCTAAGGATGACACGGACGAAATTGCGGGGGTTGATTGCGAACGCTCCCCCACACACAAGTAGAAAACAAAATGCACACAATGCAGAATTACCCTAAACAAGTCTTTAAACAAACCCGAGGGATTCCTGACATTATCAGCAACAGAGATCTCCTTCATACATCTCTACCATACTTCTCATGGCATCAAAAAGCAGTAAAGTTCTTACTTCTCATGATATCTAAGAAGCAGTAAAGAAATGCGATAAATGAGGAATAAAAGTGAAGCCACAATAATGCCTAACGGAGAAGGTCTACTACCTCTTCAAAACCATGCAAGCAAAGAGAAAACTCTACCAAAAGCCTCTTAAAATTTCCTTGATCAAACTTAGGCTCTTAGCTAGCTTTGAAACTTTCCTGAAAATCTTCAATAATATCTCTTTTACTTACCAATAATCACCAAATTGCAATCTTTTTTTTTATTTATATTTTTATCATTAGGAATCATGACAAGGTAAGAAAAATAATAGAGAGAGCCAATTAAAATTCTAAACAATGGAGGGTGTGAAACTGGATCTGATGGTGTAATCACAATAGAAATATGGGCGTTAAGCTCATTCAGTTTGAGCCCATGAGGCCATGTGTGTGGTATCAAAGGCCCACATAAGGCAGTCTAATAATAGCTTTTTTTTTGCAAGGACAATCAGCTGGTACAAAAAAATTTCATGGGTACGTTGCAAGCATATTCAGTCGAAGGCCCATCCAAAGTGAATATTTAGCCTGAAAACTCAAATATTGTTAAAATTTGAACAATCAAAATAAAAATAATAATAGATAAAAGAAAGAAGAGTAAAACGTGAGTTTGGAGAGACATTAGGGCTAAGAAAGTTTGTGATTGTTTGTAATACACAAGCGAGATTCTCTTCTCCCTCTCTCAAGAACGGCACGACCCACTCTTCTCCGTCTCTGATCAGCGTTCACAGTGACGCCGCCATCAAGGAACTCAACTTATCTTTTCTCTGTTTAATCCCCTTTCACCTCTTCGCTCTTGATTGACTCGCCGCCAAACCGCTCATCATCTTCTTCCGCTTCCAATCGACTCTGCTCGGTCGCTTCTTCTCCGTTCGAGTGCGTCTTTCACAGAGCTTCGCCGCTATTTCGTTCATCCATCTCTCTGCCATGCTCAAGATTTGCTTCGACTCAGCTCTTCTTCAAATAGCGGTTCCGTAAATCTCCTACGCCGAATCCATATCTCTGTCGTGCTTCGATGCTCTGTTCTTTGTCGCGGATTTGCTCAAGCATAAAACAAGAAGATTATCCAGTAATCTTTCTCGTGTTCTCTTATTTACGCTGCGAATTCTTCTTCCTCTTTCTTCGTTTTTTGGTTGTGCGCCATTTTGTGATGTTGTGCGATGAATGATTGATGCGTCCTGAGATGGTTGACGCTGATAAACTTATGGTGTGTATTGCACAGCAGAAAGTGTTGCAGAGAGAGAATGAGGGCGATGGGAGTTTGTTACTGGTAGATTGGAGATTGCAGTTGTTGAAGGTTGATGATGAAACCGTTGATGGAGTTTCATGAAGGTTATGCAAACTCATTGATAACTAAAGATTCAAGGTTGATGCAAGGTGATGTGAAGAAGATGATGAAGGTCATGTGTTGAAGATTGAAGGTTGATGGTTGAAGTAGTTGTTCTTGTAGATGAAGATGGAGCTACGTGAAGATTCCAGAGAGAGTGATTTTTTGTGATTTGTTTTTGTGTTTTGGAAGTTGGAGTTCTGTTAGGAGTTGGCAGAATCAGTTAGTTGGAATTCTGTTAGAGAGGAGGTTAGGGAATTGTTCTGTTATGATTATTTTTCTGCTGGAAGTTTGTTGGATCCGATTTGAGGCAGTTAGAATTTCTGTTAGAAGAGTGAGAATTAGTTATCAGTGAAATTTTGTTGTAAGTTAGTTGGTTTAGAGTTAACTGTTTTTTCTGTTACGGTACATTTGTTAACTGTTAGGGATTGAAGTCGTCTGAGCCCTAGATTTCTGATTTTCTGAACAGCATTGGCTGAACTGGTTTTCCATTATCGAATCGAGTGAAACTGGCTCTTTTTGTGATCTTCTTCCGGTTATTTTCGAGACTGATGCAGGGAGGTTTCTTCATGATTGCAGGGTTATGTATGTGCAGCTAGTTTTGTGGCGTGAAGAAATTGAAGCACGAAGGGTTTTGAAGTTTAGCATGGAGTTTCTTGTTGACTGGTTTTGGAGATCCAATTTTAATGGACTATTTTTGATGTTTTCAGGGCTGTTTAGTCATAGCTTCATGATGCTTAATTGCTTTTGTTCATGACTGTTTTTGTAGGGCACCAACAGGGTTCAAGACATGGCTGCAGTTTGATTCGTGTTGCGATGCTTGGAGGAAATATGAAGGCACATGGTGATGATGAATCAATAAAGATCAAAGTAAAGTGAGATGTTTGAAGATTGACTCGAAAATAGGTCATATTATTCGGATTAGAAACAATAGGCTCCCATGTATTTTGTATAATTTCTCTTGTATGTGTAATTGGATCTTTTGTTGAATGAGACACAACTTGTACTCCCCCTTTGAGTCTTTGTAATGAACCATGTTCTTCTCAAATAAATTTCAGCCTTAATCCATTTTTGAATCCATGTATTTTTCTCTTCAATGCAAACTTGAATGGATCATAAGATAAGATGCAGAGAAAACTTAAGGAAGCCCTTGACCCAAACAATGATCCATTATTTAACTCTCTTATAGTGTAATATGCTTGAATGATTGGGTTTTAATTGAATGGAATGTGTTGATTTTTAAAATGTTGAAACTTGAGTGATGAACATGTCTTGGAAACCTTGAACAAACTTTTCCTGATTTTAATGCACTTTCACTTTGAACCACATAGGTACATCTTTCAACCTCGCAAGTTTGAGACAACTCTGATCCATTTATTAGTTTTAACACAAACTTGAACTCATGCCTTTAGGTACCCCTTTGAATGAACATTTTCCAATAATGAATCCAAATCGACCCTTATTTCTCAAAAAACCCACAATCTCAAACCTTGCATCCACATTAATTTGCATGACACCTCACAAGAAACAAAATGAATATGTAAGTTCATCATTTATCCCATGACCCAACTTCACTTGTTCTTGAAGTAACTGGACAAAGAGGACCTTGTAGCTCGATGAGGAGAAGTTCACAATAATCAGGGACTCAAACCCTAGCTCCACAAACCAGACTCAGGGGAAGACCTTGATTCAAGCCCGAATGAAGTGAAAACCTTAAAGCATAGATAAACCCTAATTTCCAAGACCGACAATCCTGTGCTAAGTTTATTGGTTAATGATGCGCGATGCGTTAAATGACCTAATGAAAAGGTAATGCTTGTGAAAAGTAAGAGATGTATAAGCCAGATGTTTTGATGAAAGGGTAGGACAAATTTTGGGTATTACAGCGACTCTCAATTATTTTCTGTCGGTTACGATAGCTGACGACTCTACCGGGGACACACCCCTTAAGTTAGAGTTTACCCCTCTTTTAGGTCAATGGTTTTCCATATTTGTTTACTTATTTTCTTATTTATTGTTATTTCATTTAGTATCATGTTATTTATATTATGGTGGGATTTTATTGTAACGAAAATACAAACCTTAGAAGAAGGATTGTCAATTGGCTAAGGGGGTTTAACATCCCTATGAATTTTTGCGACAACTTCGCCTAGAGTCGGTCAAATTCAGAGAAATATCTTTAGAGGGCTAGCCTCTCTTGGAGATAGGACTTTGAATTTGATCAAAGACTCTTTGATTAATCCAAAAATAGAATCTCATGGTGAGACCTTGTATGACCTACAAGACGAAAGTCTTGGTCTACAAAGAGGCTCCACTTAAGGGAGACTCTTGTGCATTTTCCCTTTTGTGTTATCCATGATATCCTTAAGGAAACCATCCTTATAGGGAATGGTAGAATATATGATGATGAACTTATGAACCTACCCACCAAGGATAACCTTATAATCCCACCACTAAATTGCATCACCATACATATTGCATTTGAAATATTCATTTTTTGCATTGCTTGCATGTCTTATTCACAGGATTTCCTTGAAAAATAATACAAAAAATAAGAAAGGTTTTTGGTGAGCATCTCAAAATGATTACTAATAAGAAATCAACCATCCGCATTAGCGTCATGATGCTAGATATCAAGAAAATGAAGCCGATTAGAGGGAAATTACCTGAAAAGGCTGTGAAGGGTTTTGTTCGTCGCTATGGAGACTGATCTGATAAACATGATTGTACAAGTGGAAACTATCACCGCCCTTGCTCAATTCTATGACCCTCCACTAAGGGGTTTTACTTTCCAGAATTTTCAATTGTCACCTACTTTGGAGGAATTTAATAGGATTTTGGGATTCTCCAAAATCAAAGATGGAGCTTATATAAGAATTGGGAATACCATCAGAGTCTGATACTTGGCTAAAGAGTTAGAGATACCCTTCACTGACCTAGTACTCAACTACAAGAAAGATGGTGACGTGCAAGGTATCAAAAGATATTACTTAGAATCTAAGGCTCTTTCTTTTGCAGATAAGAAAGAATGGGAGGCTTGTGGAGATTGTTTGGCATTGCTTATTTTTGGCTTGATTCTGTTTCCAAATACTGTAGACTATATAGATTCTGCGACTATTAATATATTTTGGACCGTGAATGTACTAAATATTGATCCTACTCTTGTTCAACTTGCTGATGTGTATTACTCCCTTGTCATAACTGGCAAAAAATATGTAGAGTCGACACTAATAACTTTTATCCTAAGGATGAGAATTTAACGGATAACCCTAATTTTGTCAGAGGTTCTAAGTTCGTAAGTCAATTAGATGAAGAAAAGGTGTTAGGCACCCTTCATCTCCCTTGTTCTCAAGGGGCTCCGCTTTTAGGTTTAAGGGTAAGTTGGGAATTTCTATCTAAAAGTTATTGTTTCCATATATTTAGGAAAAAAGATTTAATTTTTAATAGATGGACTTGCCTTGGTTTTAACTGCATGCCTACGTATCTCCTTGCGAAGAATCAGAGTCCAAATTTGTAGTTCCTAGTGTTTGTATGATGTGTTTTATAGGCTGCGTAGAATTGCTTTTGAATTATCCTTGAACCTTGACCGGGTTTAAAAAATGAGTGATTGTAGACGCAATTCGCAGTTAAGTTTGAAGGCATTGTTATTTCAACCTTTTTTTAAAAATGTTCTTGAGATATTTGTTAAGTTAGTAGAGAAATAACAATTTGACTCGGTTAGTTGTTTTAAATTTGATTTGATTAAGTTAAGTGATAAAGAATTGATCTTTATCATAATTAAATAGCGCTAGGCGAAGAAATTGATTTTTATAAGGAGTTGATCCTTATTAGAATTGAATCGCGTTGAATAAAGAAATTCATTTGATTTGTTAGTGATTTTTAACGTTTTGATTTGAATAATTAATTAGTAAATATTAAGTCGATCAATCGATTATTCGAATATATGGTGGATGTAAAATCCCCCAATCCTATTATTTGTAACATGTATTAATTAATTTAATAAAAAATTAATATGTGACTTATTTTTGTTTTTAAATGTTCTTTTTATAATTAAATAACCTAAATTCGTTTAACAACCTAGTAACTAAATTATCAAACTAAAACTAATTAAATAAAATGGAATAAATAAACATTTACACACATGAGTCAAAAGTGGAAGAAAAAGACGTGACAACACAGAATGGTCGTGGAACCCATATGTAAAAAACAAATTTAATTACAAACGTTAGACAAATCTTAAGAATATAGAAATTAAAATATTACAATTTATTAAACAATTTTTATGTTTTTAGTATTTTTATTGTTTAAAACAGCCTAAAACAACCTAAATTAATGGAATTTAAATAGACTAAAACTAACTTAAAAAAGAAAATCCTAATTACTAATAATAGTAATCCTAAAAACAAGAAGAAGAAAAACTAATCTAATGGCCAAATGAGCCCCCCATTCATTATCATACATATACGTTCAGTAAAGTAAGAGAAAGTCAATATAAAAAAACAATTTGACTTAGTCTAACTAAGCAATTCACCATAAAAAAGTTGACATGTATAATTGAAGAAATAAATTAAAATAAAAAGGAAACTTACACCTAAAATGTACGTAGAGAAAACGTGGGAATGGTAAAGCAAGGAAAAACCAATTTTTTCTAATTCTTGTTGGCCAAACAAAGTCTTAATCTTTTCCAATTCAATTGTAGCAATGTCTACCGGTTATTTATGGGATATTTTAGTTCGATTTTTCATGTGGATACAGATATAAATTTTATTTATTATCAGACTAAAAGGTATTTCGGCTGGTCCAATGGTTCAACTCTATTAAACTGATTTTTTCATGATTTTCGATTCTGCAGCTCTAAATATAACTCAGTACAATACCTTTTTCTTTTCCGTAAATCCACATGGCTCTCTTTTTCTCTAGACACAACATCCATTCTCTTAACAAAACGCAACAAAATTATTCTCTTTTTAACCAAATCATATCCTTCTCTTTGAAGAACAACACACAAAATCACATCTTTATGTTTTCACAAAATGCATACTTTTTAAACAAATAAAACATAGAATCATGAAATTAAAGAAAGAGAATCGTGAGAATACTGCGTGATTTCTCTTTATGTTGGCAGTGGCACGCTAGTGGTGGTGCGTTGATGCTTTTTTCGACGGATCTTGCGGCGGCGACGATAAACACGGTGGTATGGCGGCGAGTCTAATCTATGCGGTGTTGTCTGCGTGAAACAGGGGCTTCATCGGATCTGCGTGTGAGTCCGACGATGATGGCAGTGTGATGGCGGTTGAAGCATGGATCAACAGCTTCGTTGGGGGCACGGTGGAGATTGGGCCGACCGGTGTGGCGCGCTCCCCGCGTGATTGAAATTATAGTGTTGCTTTTAGGCTTGACAAAGTGTTTGTGCAGCTCTAGTGTAATGTGGATTAGGCGTCGATATTCCTCCCTATTCTTTTACTTCTCTTCTTCCTCTATTTTTCTAAATTTTTGCAATTATTATGTTTTACTGACATTGCTGAATTTGATCACGTGTTTATGTCTGCTGGGTAGTGATAACATGCAAAATCAACACCAGAAGGCAATCCGCTTTGTTATGTCATTTTATTCGAGATAAAAATGTACATCAGAGCATACGAATGATGTGAATATATTTTTCTATTTTTAAAATATAAATAATTTAGTCCGATTTTTCATACGGATACAGATGTAAATTTTATTCATTATCTAACCAAAAAGTATTTCGACCGGTTCAATGGTCCGGCTCTATCAAATCGGTTCTTAGATGATTTTCGATTCTACATCTCCAAATATAGCTCAGTGGCAATACCTTTTTCTTTTTCGT